ATGTTAGTGTTTGAAAAATTAATCTTAAACGCACACTTTCACCCTCCTGAATCAGGCTGTCTAGTTGGCGGCGTTCTAGGCAGGGCGGCTGAGGGTAAGCCTCAGGAATGCGCGTGTTGCGGCTATTTCACGAGTAGACGCCCTTCGCGCCGCTGTCGTTATGGTGTTCCCGTACCTAGTTTCTTTTTCACTTAGCTTTGTATTGTTGTTCGATTTGTAAGATTTAATTTCACTTTTAAAAGCTGGAGGAGATAGAATTTTGATTTAGGGGTCCTTTTCCAACCTTGGGGTTCACCACTTTGCATTTGAAAGCATTTCGCTAAATAAAAACACAAAAAAAGGAGCATGAAGAACAATGAAAATCTGGGACTGTGAATCTGCAGTAACTGAAAAAGCCAAGAAACAGACACAAATTTTTAACAGGTGAGAAACCATTACTTTATCACCATGCACTGCTATCACCGACAGTTAAAGCGGTCATTATTTTTTTTATTTTACTTAGATAACAAAATATGCATTACAATTCTACGTCATGCCCTAGGAAATGTTCATAATTTCACTGCACGTTAATAAGCATCTTAACAGTACTATGTCATTGAGTAAAAGTGACTCGTAACATTAAGTACAATTTACATTCCTTCAAAGATGGTAGCGCATTTAAATTCCTGACACTCTCGCAGTGTAAGTACCTTACTTGCAGACTGTAAAACAACTCGTTTTTATTCAAACTCGGTAACTTAACATTTCCTGATTGATGCATCAAAGGCAAATTTAAATATTCTGGGCATGTACAACTTTTTCCACTTTTTTTTATCCAACAACACAGGTAACGGTTCAAGTGTTTATTCATTGGTTTATTACGTAGGACATGATTATCTGAAAACTAAGAAATATTGAAAATTTTTAAGAAAAATTCTTAAATTACATATTGTGTATTGTGTCATCGAATGGTTTTTAGAAATCTACAGTTATTTATTAGGCACGCTAGGCGTCAGTTTGACAAGGTAGGGGAGATGAAAGCAACGTTAATCTCAACAATGAATTTTATCTACATATATAAACTGATTTTATCTATAGTTTACACAAGGATATAAAATTTCTGCGAGATTCTTCACTAACTGAAAAAATGGCATTTGAGTCACATTGTTAAGTCTTAGTTGAAGCACAAAATCATGCCATTCTCCATAATTAAATAATCATCAGTGGCAATTATATTTTGCTCCTAGAAGTCATTCTCACAGTTAAATTTTATTCTATCAAATTTGTAGGCGTACCTATTTTAGTGGTAAATAAATTTACAGCAGTATTGTTTCATCACAAACGAAAGAATGTTTTTATTGTCATTAAATTATTCATTAGAGATATCTAATTTATTTATGTAATAAAAACATTAACATTTGAATAAGAAAAAATATATTTATAAAATATTTAAGTTCCTTACAGTTTCTAGGTTGATAAGGAAGTCATAAAAATGCGTTCATAAAAATATGACTAAAATTGTCTTTAAATACGTGTTTAGTTAAGCGAAATAACCAAATTATAGCCCCACTTTAAAAACTTTTACAAGCCATTCAGCATTCTGAATAATAAATAGAATGGCATTGTTCAAATACTCTTCCTTTTCTTAGGCGAAACTGAAAAATTGTACTTCCTATAGAATGACGGGCAGTAACCACAAACACTACCTTTGTGTCAATTCTTGAAAAGAAATTATCAACAATAGGTGCACTTCCTGTCTACACTGAATTTCTTGAACGGTTTACTCACACACAGTACTAATGACGTCCACTTATCCGTTTTTATGTGTCTGTTACCATTTCCTTCAGACTATAATTATTAAGAACCAACTACCAAGATATTACAAAAACATACCGATTATCAGTTTTCTTAAGTTTCACCTTAATTTAAAATCAAAAAATATTGCTGCATTACAATTAACATATTGAAAGCAGGAACCGCATGCAGTGAAATCAGAGACACTTAAAAAATCAAAAACTTACTGCAATAGTTAATGATTCTTGCAACTAGTTATTTACACAATTAAGAAATTTCTTCTGCATTAAAATTGCATTAAAATCCAATAATAAAAAGCATCTGCGGCTTTAATTTATTACTAATTAGTAGGAGAAGTCGAAGAAACTGATTTTGAAATTGAGATCTTGCTTTGCTACCCACACAGAACTGAAAAAATTTCAACGTGTTAAATACAGATTATTATTAACGGATCTGAAACCGGTTCGAACACAAATTAAACTGATAATAACGTAACATTTTCATTGTTAAAAGCGATTTAAATTGTCGCATTGTGTAACTGCACGATTAGCTAACACCTTAATGTAGAAGTTTCTAATTAGAAGAGAAGTGTACATGCCCCAAGGTCCATTATCAAAAGGCGAGCTTATTGCACTTCCTGTTCTGACATAATTAGTGCGCTCGCCCCACCCAATTACGATCTTCAAGTTCGTCTTTTAATTTCTTATCTAAAGGTTACGGCACTGAATTCTTATTTTTTAAATATACATTTACATATGTTGCAATGTCGCCACGGAGGTCACATTTTGCAACAAGTCGACACATAATAAGCCAACGGGCGTGCAGGAAAAATGTCAAACAGTATCGTAAACCCACTTTCGCGAAATTCCCAAAAGCGACATGCTAATGCGCTAATGAATCCTCCCACAATACCAAAAATAGTGAAGTGACTCAACCGGTAATGCAAACAACAAGAAAATGATTACGTCAATCACAGCTGAGGAAAACAGTGAAAATAACGACACACATGATGAACGATGCAAAAAAAACAAAGAAAATTTCTTTTCGTTGCGGATTTCTGAGCTGACGTGACATTTGCATTTCTCTCGGCTGAATTTCGGCCCGCTTCACACTCGACAAGGTCGCAGAGAGGATATCGCACATTTTTAATTGGCTATTATGACGTCACGACACTGAACCTAACCTCAATTTCTTCTATCAATTGGTTTTCTCTCAGGATCAAGCTTTACGCTAATTGAGGAATTCAAGGTTTATTGTTCTTCGAACAATATGTTCCCTATTAATTTAATTAATTGGATAAGCTTTCGCTGTTTATGATTTAAAGTGTAGAATTGATGTAGAGCACAAAATGGAAGTTAGGACGTAAGGGAAAACAATGTCGGAAACTTTAATGAGCAATTAGTTTTTGCACTTTCTAGAAACCTAGCACAATCGTGACCAATTTACCAATAATTAGTGGCAGAATAAGAGAAAGATTAACTAAAAGTGGTGCAGATGGCGGCGGAGGAAAGCGAATTACTGCAGAATATTTCGAAATGCTATGTGTTGATCGGGATTGACGTCAAGTATTACGTCATCAGTGCTAGCGGACGTCACACTGCATGGGTTGCTGCAATTTAATGAGGTAATCAAATGAACAATAAACTTTTTTTACGTATTAGTTATTTGTCCTTTGCGATTATGCATTTTGTGACCGTATTTTCAATTTATTTATAAACAAACTAACACAAACTCACTCAAACTAAAAAAAACAACGCAATTATATGCATGTTAACAGTAATTTAGCGTTGGTTTTAATATATTTTTACTAGAATACAAAAAAAAGTAAAAATGTCCCACTCGAACAAGACAAATAGTGTCACAATTCACAAAATGTCTTAATTCTTAGATGAATAGACTTTTTATTTTTAAACTCCTGAAGAAGTTTTATGACGTCACCATAAACAAATTATTAATAAATTAAATGATTTTCCCCATTTTTCTTTGGAAGAAGTCACCCTAATAAGAAAACAAAAAATGTGGCATGAAATTTAATTTTATTATATTTATCGTAATTAACAATAAATCGTAATAAAATACCATCAAATTTTTGGTCAGGCAAATTAACTTTGATTTATCGGCAGAATTTTTATTCCATTACGTTGCCAACATCAGAATTTATTTATTTATATCCACCAAATAATTGATGACGTCATTTCCAAAATGTCTGTATCAATCTTTGAAAAAGAACATAACTGGTATAACACTTCAGTCAGTCCGCATTAACTTATAGTAACTTCATTATAAATTCCACACTAAATGAACAATGCTAATAAAATAAATTTGATGATTTCTCTACAAATTTGAAGGTGACATTAAGTCATCAAAGAAGCAACGCCTCAAGCAACATATTGAATGGTAGACGATACAAAACTCAACTTCTCCGTGAATTACGGGGAATGTACCTCTTACTCGCCGTGGCTTTGTAAACAATGAAGAATGATTCAGACAAGTTAACATTTCCACAACAAAACTTAGATTTATGCAAACACAGAGGAGGAATGAGTCAGACAATGACATTTCTTTACTGAACAAAAAAGGGTTCTCAGACGACCACGAAATTGGCACACGATCTAACCCTCGGGGGGCAATTGCACCCTTCCAGATTGTTACCTGCGACAGGTGGTCAATTGCCTCACCCCTACCAACCAAGAGTTCAACATTCCTCCGACAATACCTATTCATACAAACATGCAAATGAAAGCCACGCCAACTTGTTCACTTGTTGAAACCAAAATGTCTTTTGTCTTTCAGCATCATTTATCAAGTGTGTCGTGATGCAGGTTTACCTCAAATGTTTCTATTTTGAAGTCATAACATGAGTCATTTTTAACATAACTTTCAACTTATTAGGAGTAGACAACCGTTGCTGAGTCACTTATCTTTTTAGCCGTGATCATAAATCCGGGTCCCATGATGGTATCGATTCGTAGTGTTAGCAACCGATAAACAATACGTTAACTAGGCCGCCATATTGCCGTCGTGCCGTTTCCTCTTCCGCAACACATCTGACACTTCCCTTATCTTAATTAATTAAACGAAAATTACGAAAGGCAAGAATTCGGCCCAGTTCTTCGTAAAAAGTCTCGATTGTTTGCGCAACAGTTCCGCAACCCATTACCCACTTGATATTATTACGGCAAAGTTAATCGCCTGGAACAAACAAAAATTTGTCGCCTTTCACTCACCTCCAACTTCTTTGAGTAGTCTTCGATGACCGCTTCGTGCTGCTTCTTCAGTTCTTCGTTCTTCTCCAGAAGGGCCTTGCCCAGCTCTGCGGCCAGCAACAGGTCGTTCTCCTTCTGCTGGAGCTGAGTCCACACATCCTCGGACTGGGTATGGTTGGGGTTGATGGCACTACGGTTTTCCATTTCTACGATGTAATCTTCTAGGGATTTCAGCATAGCTGACATTACGGAATCGTCCTGCCATGAATCATCCTACAAGGACACGTGTAAGGCACCATTTTCGCTGCTGTCTTTGCTGGTTTCCTATTCGAGCATCTGGAAATCAAGAAAAGGGTGAAGAATGCGGAGTTGGCACATCGGTTTGAGAAATAGGTTGCGTGCCATTGTTTGAGTAAATGAATCCGAGTCAAACGACGATTAAATTTCGTCATTAATTTTTTCATTCATAGCGGCGGAGGATGTGGGAAATCGAGGCTTTAATATTTATGGTGGACGAAAGCGGGTTTTGCCAATACCGGATTTTGGATTTCGGCGCGAACAGTTGACATTTGAAGTGGTATTTTCGGTGAAATTTTTAAAATGTGTTAATATTAAACGTTATTAAGAAACATTGAAGGTTTGAATCTGGTACGTGTGTCTGAAACAATCTAAAGTAGCGTTTCCCAATTACCGATCCGCAAAGAAAGTTTACTGAACCACAAAACATAAACGGCCAACAATGAAAACCTCATTAAATTTTAATGCGGATGTTTATTTATTATTGTTTAGTGTGTACATTGTGGAATAAATACAATAAAAAATTACTTGTGCAATTAACAGATTTTTTATTACACATTTTAACAGCAAACTTAATATTTTTTGGGTTTTATATTAAAGTGGTGACGACAGACATTTTTTCAAACAGCGACCATCCCTTTAATACTTGCTTTAGAGAAGATAAAAAATTGAATATAGCTGCGTAAAACTTGCATGACCTGGCCTCACCTGCTTTTTAGTGGGATTAATTTGTATAAATTTTGATATAAATATAAAAGGTAACATTAATAACAACATTACGGTTTACCCAGAATTTCTTTAAAATTAAATAGTCTGCTTTTAATTCAATCAATAAGATAGATTGCTTCATTCACTAATTTCTTTAAAAGAGAAAAATGTGTGACACCATAAATTTCAAACGAGATATTCTTAACAAAATTCTGACTTTTTAAAAGGGATGAATGGGTTAATTCTAATTACTAATTTAACATGTTTGTGATAGTTTTTAAGTTACATTATAAAATTTGATTGTGAATTTATAAAATACACGTATAACAACATTTTTTTTCAAATTTTAAATTTTGATATGGCGTCATCAAATTTTTAGTGGAGATAAAACATACTGGCATCAGAGGGTGCTAATAAAGTGAGTTCAGGAATTTCTCAGCAACAGAACTTTTAGGGTTAAAACTGTCAGTTCCCTTAGATCACAAAGAGAAATTTTAAGCGAAGTTGCACAGGGATCCGTTCTGGGACCTCTCTTTTTTTGTTGATCTTGCCTGAGTTCTATTCGATGCACATAATTTTCAGATTATCTCAAAGTTTATAATACCAGTGTCAAATGCGATCTAATAAATACTGCTATTAGACCCACAGATAGAGTGGCAGCAATATCCCTCAATTTAAATATTATCAATTTATCACGGATCTCATTTATTAAAGTGTGTGTGAACACAATGGTTTGTTCTGAAATTGAAGGTACCCCGAAAAAAAGTGTCATCTTTCTTGTGATACCATTATTTATAAGCTAAAAAAACCGCAACTACAGAAATCGTATTCTACAGCTAAATCCGAGAACCACCATTTTTGTGGTACCGAGCATAGTGCAGTCAACTTCGGTTCCCGACGCTTTAGTACGTAATGTGGCAATTCTCCACAAAGGACGCTGATTAACATTCAAACAGTTATTGGTAAAAAATATTGATATTAGTATTTTCGGTTAAGGCGGAATTCCACTGGGGCAACATGTAGCATGCGGCATTGACGCCTATGGGTTGTACTATTTACGCCGACGATGACTCATTGTCTGTAATGGCGGCCGGCGAAGAGCCTGGAAGCGGAAGTCGCGAACGGGTGCTCCAGACAAGTCTAGAAGCGGTGACGGACGCATTTCGAGAAGGATCGCGTGACTGTTTAAATGGGAACCACCGTCGGGAGCAAGGGAGTTGAGTCCAGCGAACATTGAGAGAAGCCAGTCAAGTTGCGCCGGAATTATTTTGTACATAATCGCTGTGCAGTTGTGTAAATTCGAGTTAGTAAGAAATAAAGAATAAATTGTTAACAATAATATAGCATACAAAAATTTATAGATAAAACATTCCACGCTTTTGAAGCATAAATAAATCACTAATTATTTTTAATTATCTATTAAAAACTAAAATTCTTGTAAAACCTCACTTTTTTTATCTGTTTAATAATCCTTTGAAAACTTGTTATCGAGTTTTTGGTGGCGATCAAAGAAATACAATTATGTCAATGCTTTGTAAACCGCCGACGCGGACATACGAATAAATAAAAAGAAGAAAAGAATCGAAAAGCGTATTATTTTGCACATTTTGAATTCAGTTTACTCTGCAAAATTGTAAATAACGATATCAAATTTTGGGGAAGAAAAACAAAAAAAAAATTTCAGTTGATCCATAAACGAGACAGTCGATTATTAAGAAATTTTGCATACGCTTTGAGGTTATTGTGACTAGAATTTATTTGCTAATATCTCTAAAAATTTTGCAACGTCATTCTCGAGTTTGCCAAATATCACTTGTTTGGTTTACCGAATGTTCAAAAATAATGAATGTATAAATCGATTTCTCATTTTCATATTTTACTGCAACAACAGAATCATCTACGTTTTTATTATTTATTTCCTAATCATCCTTGTTGTCCATTTGCGACGCCTTTTTACACTAAAACGGTATCGTGTTTGTGATCTTTTACAAGATTTCTAAATACGACGAGAACGAATAATCCGGGTACATACAGCTTAGTACAATTCTTTTAATCTTGGCAAGATGATGTTCTAAAACAGTATGTTTCTGTTTCCTTCTTCATCCGATACGATATGTGTTTACGCAGTATGCGTTTCCGGTCCTAAAATGCTAAAAAGTGCGTTCTTTACCTTCGTAAATACAGTGTGTTGGACGAAGCCAGAGAGGTAGTTTTACAACACCTTGCCAAAATTAAAAGAATTTTATTGTAAGGATGGTGTGTTGAAATTCAGATTAAGCTCTGCTTCTCGAACAACAATCGTTTTACTAGATGAGTCCTTCGCAAATTGCGAAAAAATGTTACTGTCTTTATACATTCTTTAAGGTCATTTATTGATATTTTTAATCGAGATATCGAGAATCGTAACAATATGTTTTCATTTTCAACAGTTTAAGTATGGAAACAAAAGGGATCGCTAATACCGAAGGATAATAATATGCAGGTAGCTGGGTTTTTTTTACAATTGTGGTAGACACGCACTGCGGACGGCTTGAGCAGTACGCATTTTTTTATTCAGTTCTAAATCATTAGTACATATCACAACTTCAAACTATTCACTGTGATCTCCAAAATATAAGGCCATTAGCAGACACTTTCGATATTTGCAATTTTTAGAACGTAAACTATACGTCATTGCATTATCTGTCATTGTCACATGGACACAGCATACTTGAAGTATATATTTCTTAACATAAAAAATCTAAAAAGATATATTAATATGATACAGAAGATCTAGTAAACACATAGTAGTTACAAAAAAGTAAACACAAACAGCTGACAACTTTCCTTTTATTTGACATAAATGTCTAATTATGCGTTATCCATCTGACATGCGAAATAAGTAAGGATGTAACACTACATTGTGTGATATTATCCACTGACATACTAACTTAATAAGTAGCTTAAAAATCTGTAAATTTAAGTGGCCAATAGGTTCCTTATTGGTTGAAATATCCATGTACAGTAGAAGCCAAATTTAATGACAGGTGGAACAAATGGAGTCCGAACAACTATACGAAAGATAGACGATAGACAAACACACGGAAAGGAGTTAAACATCTAGACAGTAAATAGAAAATATATGTGACAGTTGATTAAAATGTGGTGTCATTGACGTATGCCATATTCGAGACGCCAGACAACTTATTAGATCACAGGATTTGTGACATCCATATATATCACGTAAAAATACATCATTTTAAAAACTGACATGGCATTATAACAAGTACTTTTGGTTTAAAAAAATATATATTCTCTCTTTTTATAATTACAAGAAAAAAAATTAAATCGGCAATTCCGGATGCCTAGACTATAATAATTATAATCGATTCCATTGTTATGTTACCGTTCATCATGTCATTAAATCTGACTGTAGCACAGTGATCTTGACTTCCGAATTTAAACAAAGGCTTGACACTGAAAAATGTGCACTTGTACGAGATGCTAATGCGTCCAATATAAAATCTAAAAAAAATTACAAATTTGTTTCTTTCTTCTTAAACTTTTAGCTAGGAAAATCCACACGGTAGGTAGTTCCATGGTGAGAGTATATATGTATGCATTTTCACCTGTCCACAAAACACTGTGTGACTTTTGACCACGATGGATAAAGGTTGAGAAACACTGGTCTATGGTCTATGTTACCTCATTCGAGTAAACTTACTAATTTGCTCAATTTATAAACAACAGGTCGTAAATTTCCACTGACGAAAACGTAATACAGGGAAAACAAACGCTTTTACCTAAGTTTCATGATTTAAATTTTTAAACCGACGAACAATGTTAAAGCTAGTAATTACATTATCAGCAAATTTATTAGCCAATGTCGGAGTAGACAAATTTTAAAATGAATGCCACACTTTGAATAAATATTAATTTAAATATGCAACAATGTCATCCACCACACTGACGTCAGTTCACAATATTGATTATCGCGCCATTTGTTCTGTCAACAGCAATGGTAATCTGAAAAATACAACTACCAACGATAACACTAAAAATACACAGTACTGCGAAAAACATTATCTTTGATAATGCTCGTAAAAATGCAATATACGAGAGTGCACACAGAGTTCGGCTTTGTAAGTTTTTATTGGGTAATAGGTGCATTGCCTACACACACAAATCTTATTAAGCTTCCAATCACACGTAAGGTCTTAATCAATCGATAGCCGTTTCTATTTTTTGCTTGCAAACAAGCA